TATATGAATTTTTCATGACAAACATATTTCTTTGATTACTGGGAACACACCACTTAAAGGCCTATTTTTCTAATCCCACTTGTGAAAAAGCAGTGATAAGATAGGACACTCTAGTTAAGAGGAGCGAGAGGGAGGCCAATAGGTTTGGCATAAGAGGGAGTTTTATGAAGAAGGTGGGGCTACAATTAGGCGTTTGATGCTGACAGCCCTGGAACTGGCTTAGAGGAGGAGGAAGGTGTTGGAGACGGAGTATGGAAACGGGAGGGGAGGCAGAGGGTGAATGACTCCCAGCTCCTATCACAGCACCAGGGGTACTCTGCTGCATTTAACCTGTTAACATTATTACTTCTGTCAACAATAATGGCAGCAGCCCAAACCACCTTTTACTGAGTGTTCCCTTTGTGTGCATGGCCCACATATGCTCACCTTGACCTCCTGCCTGGCCACTGCCAGCATCCCATCTTACTCCTCTTTGTATCCTGCAATAATTGGTGCTGTGTCTAGCACATGATGGGTGGCCCATAAATGTTTATTGATAATAATAAAACATGATTGGGAGGTAATATTTATGGGGCACTTTCTATGTGCTAGACACTTTAGTCCTAACACAAATCTGTCATGGGGTAAGATAATTACCCAGTTACAGAAGCAAGAACTGAAGCAAGTTTGTGACTTGTCCAAAGTCATGCAGAATGGGAACGGTGGCCTCTGCATTCTGACTGAGGTAGTTGAGCCCCAGAGCTTGACTCCAAATGCATTAATAAGGCTGTAGGAGAGAATGGACAGAGTCTATCACTCTTCACCCTCCACATACTGCCTCTACCTGGGGCACTCTTGCCTTTCCTTGCCCAGCCAATACCTACACATCCTGTCCTGTCCTCTGATATTTAGTGGGGGACAGGAATGGTGCTGTCATCCCATACAAAATGCCAGTAGCACTCCAGTTAAGGAACACTGTGTAATAACACTAACTAAAAACTTGAAGGGGAGTCCCCATGTATTTACAGGGTCCAGATGGTGAATTATTTTATTTTATTGGTATGGGAGGGAATATTTTCTCTTGACCCTCTTGAAGTGCCAAACTTACATCTAACAATTTATTGAAGAGCTGATTCCACAGAAACCTAAAACAGTAGTAATTTAACTTTTGGATGTGAATCTAAGGATATTTTAAACTTCTAGTTCTTAATGAAGACTATTCATTTTTTGCACATGGTCACTCACATAGTCAACAAATTATTTTGAACACTTTTATAGGCAAAGCACTCCTCTAGGCTTGGAAGATACGGCATGAATAGGACAAAGACCCTGCCATCACACAAGAGGGGCTTTACAACCCTAAAATCCAAGGGGGGACAAAAACATGAGAGAGATGATTCAATTGCTTCTTTTGCAGCCAAGAATTATTTATGTGGGGTCTCTGAAAATATAACTAGGACCACATTTCTTTATAACTAGACAAGCTCATAACCCCCAGGGTGTATGCACTGTCCATGCCTTTCAAGAAACGTAGATGTAGACTGTGTCATTAAAGCCAATTGCTAACACATACCAAGGGCTCTTTGGGGACTAAGAGAATTCAGAATTTATTTAAAATTGGGAGAACAGAAGAGTTGGAACCTGTCAGAAACCTTGCCAGTGCAGTATATTAACTGTCATAAATATTTCAGTAAAATCACTGGTTAAAAGGATGTCAACATTGATCTAATTATTTGCAAGTTGGGCAAAACTTAGACTGCCAAGAATCCTTTGAAAGCAGAATTGGTTGCTCTTTCTTTCTGCTCATTTTCCCAAGCCTCTTTATTGGTGCTAGCCAGGTAGGAAGAAGAAATATATGTAGGGTAGAATGAGAGTGTTAACTGTTATCATCATTATTTTGTGTTTTGTGTGTGTGTATGTGTTTGCTGGTACTTAGGTACTTTAGGTAATATTCTTAATTTGATGGACCGAAAGAAAGAAAGCTAAGAGAGTTTTCTTTTCATTAGCTGAATGTAATTGATGGAGAAACCAAGAGAAATATTTCCTACCTATTCCTAAAGCTTAAGATACAAAAAAGGGATAAAGGGATGCCAGGGGCAGAACGAATTAACAGAACCACAATTAACCACACTGAGTGGTTTCTGTGTGGGAGGATCATTTGTTAAGATATGAACTTTGCTTTGTCTTTTTCTGGCATAAAGTGAAGGTGCCCCCACCCCCGCTCCCCTTTGGGTTTACTTATCTCAGGAGAAGTTTGCCAGAAGGGAACTTCATTCCCTGTCTTTGGTGAAAGCCTAATCTTCTTGAGGTGATTATACTAAAGTGCCCTGAATATTGGGGAAGAGAGGTAAGGGAAGGAAGAATAAGAGAGAGAGGAGATCCTTCAAGACCGATCTTGGTGTAGTGGACACCTATACTTTGTTCTCTCATGGTGGACCCAGTGGTGGTAGGGCCACAGAGGGGAAATGGCAACATGGTGGACTGGACCTATTCACAGGGTTTGCTCATCAAGGTAAGTATTCCATGTCTCTTTTGACTTGGGACCATTGGGGTGGATGTCCCTTTCTGGACAAGTGAGCCTGGGCCATAAAACACCAGCTGTGACCATGTGCATGGGAGATTGGAGGTCTGATGCTGTTTTCTGACTTTGTGAGAGACTCCCAGGTTTTTCTGAACTTCTGGAGAGGGCAGGATGTCAAGAACTGAAAAGTCTGAGAGCATAGCCTGTTTGCAAGGTGATAAGTTAATTCTTAGTGTTTCATGGATGTTGGCAGAAGAACTATGCTCCTGGGTTAGAAATGAAGGGTAGTTTATTACTCACAGCAATACTAGGAGCCAGAGTACCACTATTTTTGCCTTGATTCCCTAAGCCCTGGTGTCTTGGGTGATTTAAGGAGAGCCAGCTGATAGCAGCACATATAATGGGTTGCTTTGTAGGAAAGGAACCTTGGGTTGAGGGAGCACGACCTTGTGTAATGGGCTGTGAGTGTGCTTGCCCTTTGCTCTGGAGAGAAACACTATCTCTATCTTCCAAGGCTGTTTGCGCTAGAAATATCTTTGGAAAGATGATATGAAACAAAGGGCAGTCAGGACCTCTGCTCACCAGATGTGCAGAAACATGAAAGACTCACGGAGAATTGTCTCCCAACTAAGGGGACATACCGTAATGTCTGAGATTAAGATTCTGCTATGGAATAGGGCTCTGAATTCAGATTTAATTTGGTTAAAAGAAAATAAAGGAATACAGTGCATCTTAAAAACAAGGTCTGTGGAATAAGTTTTATACCCACTATAATGCTAAATCTCTATATGATTTATCTTACTTAAGGGCATGGATTTTGGAGTCAGACAGATCTGAGTTTAAACTCTGGTCATTACTTCCTAGGAAACTCATTTAACCCTCAGTCTCAGTTTGTCCACCTATGAAATGGAAATAACAGTTTCTGCCTTGAAGATGATGTGAGGAATTAATGAGATGCTGCCTGGAAGGAGTCTAGCACATTACCTGGCATGGGGTGAGTGCCAAATATTTGGGAACTATTAATATTATTTAAAGGTATACAATGTAGTAACACTAAATGTGTGTGGGAAATTGTGTAATTGAATGTAGAAAGAGAGAAAAGACTTGTTTTTCAAGTTTTCTGCCTTATCTTCAAGCTTCTCATTCATTTTATATGGAAGACTTTTTGACTGGATAGATTAGGTTTGAAGAAAATTCAAGTTTTCCATACCTTCATCCCTCATACTTTTGTTTGAACTGATACACAATGGAGGAATATTATTACTTTACAGAGAAAATTAGAGATAAAAATAGGAAGGCCTGAAAATCCAGGCTGACCCAAAGACAAACTAATAAAACAATGGACCCAGGCTAGAGGCCAGCTAGTTCCTTAAGGCTGCCCTGTCCATAGAATAGGCATGTGGGCAGGCCACAAATGGCTTACCAGTGTACCTAAATAGTGATACCTTCAGTTGGAATGTGGCTGAAGAAGTCTCTGTGGTGGCTAGAGGGTCCTCCCTGGGCCTGTCACCTTTGACTAAGAACAGATACCATATAAGAACAAATCTTGTACGTATATCATGGTGAATATTATTAATAACACTGTATTGTATATTTTAAAGTTGCTAAGAGAATAGATCCTAACAACCGTCATCACAAGAAAGAAAATTTGTAACTATATGTGGTGATGGATGTTGTCTTATTGTAGTGATCATTTCACAGTATCAAATATTGACTTACTACATTGTATGCCTGAAACTAATATAATATTGTTTGATTTGTGAGAGACTCCCAGGTTTTTCTGAACTTCTGGAGAGGGCAGGATGTCAAGAACTGAAAAGTCTGAGAGCATAGCCTGTTTGCAAGGTGATAAGTTAATTCTTAGTGTTTCATGGATGTTGGCAGAAGAACTATGCTCCTGGGTTAGAAATGAAGGGTAGTTTATTACTCACAGCAATACTAGGAGCCAGAGTACCACTATTTTTGCCTTGATTCCCTAAGCCCTGGTGTCTTGGGTGATTTAAGGAGAGCCAGCTGATAGCAGCACATATAATGGGTTGCTTTGTAGGAAAGGAACCTTGGGTTGAGGGAGCACGACCTTGTGTAATGGGCTGTGAGTGTGCTTGCCCTTTGCTCTGGAGAGAAACACTATCTCTATCTTCCAAGGCTGTTTGCGCTAGAAATATCTTTGGAAAGATGATATGAAACAAAGGGCAGTCAGGACCTCTGCTCACCAGATGTGCAGAAACATGAAAGACTCACGGAGAATTGTCTCCCAACTAAGGGGACATACCGTAATGTCTGAGATTAAGATTCTGCTATGGAATAGGGCTCTGAATTCAGATTTAATTTGGTTAAAAGAAAATAAAGGAATACAGTGCATCTTAAAAACAAGGTCTGTGGAATAAGTTTTATACCCACTATAATGCTAAATCTCTATATGATTTATCTTACTTAAGGGCATGGATTTTGGAGTCAGACAGATCTGAGTTTAAACTCTGGTCATTACTTCCTAGGAAACTCATTTAACCCTCAGTCTCAGTTTGTCCACCTATGAAATGGAAATAACAGTTTCTGCCTTGAAGATGATGTGAGGAATTAATGAGATGCTGCCTGGAAGGAGTCTAGCACATTACCTGGCATGGGGTGAGTGCCAAATATTTGGGAACTATTAATATTATTTAAAGGTATACAATGTAGTAACACTAAATGTGTGTGGGAAATTGTGTAATTGAATGTAGAAAGAGAGAAAAGACTTGTTTTTCAAGTTTTCTGCCTTATCTTCAAGCTTCTCATTCATTTTATATGGAAGACTTTTTGACTGGATAGATTAGGTTTGAAGAAAATTCAAGTTTTCCATACCTTCATCCCTCATACTTTTGTTTGAACTGATACACAATGGAGGAATATTATTACTTTACAGAGAAAATTAGAGATAAAAATAGGAAGGCCTGAAAATCCAGGCTGACCCAAAGACAAACTAATAAAACAATGGACCCAGGCTAGAGGCCAGCTAGTTCCTTAAGGCTGCCCTGTCCATAGAATAGGCATGTGGGCAGGCCACAAATGGCTTACCAGTGTACCTAAATAGTGATACCTTCAGTTGGAATGTGGCTGAAGAAGTCTCTGTGGTGGCTAGAGGGTCCTCCCTGGGCCTGTCACCTTTGACTAAGAACAGATACCATATAAGAACAAATCTTGTACGTATATCATGGTGAATATTATTAATAACACTGTATTGTATATTTTAAAGTTGCTAAGAGAATAGATCCTAACAACCGTCATCACAAGAAAGAAAATTTTTAACTATATGTGGTGATGGATGTTGTCTTATTGTAGTGATCATTTCACAGTATCAAATATTGACTTACTACATTGTATGCCTGAAACTAATATAATATTGTTTGTCAACTGTATTATCAGAAAAAAAGTGAATCTTATTTTCTATGTGTGCCATGATGTGTAAAAGGTTGGGAGGCAGTGATTTAAAGACTGAGAACTTTAGATCCACAATGGGGAGAATTGTCTTTGGAGTTAGGAAATGAGGGGTAGAGCATCATTAAAAAGCTCAACCTGAATTCAAGATTTATTAAATGCAAGCAGGGATAGGATAGGTGAACTCCAGGATTCCAGGAAGGCAAATTATTTGCCATTGATTTGCCCACATGGTGTTGCTAACTCAGAGTTGCTCAATACAGGAGAGCCTATGTGGGGATCCAGCTGTGGGTTGTAAGAATCCTGGAGTTTGGTGGTTGAAGTTCTACCTCTGCCAGTGGGCTTGGGGGCTGGGGCTTACCTGTAGGGCAACATACTGTCATTTGGTTACAAAGCAGAAAGCCACTTATCTGGGAAGTAAGGTGCCAATGCCACAGTGAACCCAGAAACCAGAATAAAGTCCTATCAACTGCCCAGGTTAGTGGCTTCAGGCTCCTTGTACTTCCTCAATGTATGTCAAGAAGGCAAGCTAGATGCCTGAGTCTGGAGCAGGGCCAGATTTTAAAGTAAAGGCATAAGTGGCTTTGGGTTTGAATGTTAGGAAGAAAGCCAGGCAGAGAGCCAAGCAGACCACAAACCACCCCCAGGGCCCTTGTGGCTGTGCTGTCAAACCTAGAAGTCACCAGCTGACCACCCCCACCCCAGTATCAGTTAATAGTTTTGTTCCTTGCTGAAGTTAAAGAACAGTTGGGTTCTGGTCTCCCACATCATATTACAAGACTGCTTTTAACTGAGTGGTTAAGTAATAAGCTCAGATAATCATGCTCAGCTGTTATAGCAGCATTTGAGTCATTCATTAACGTGGGGACGTTAATCTGCTTTATTATAAATATAGGACAATTACCCAGATGATGTGTGAAGCTTTTTCTAAATTTCTTTTTTATTTAGTCCAACATAAAAATTATCATATTGTGCCTTTGCCATGGGTACATGTGGATGAGCAAAAGCTGATTGATAAATGGGTGTGGTTTCAGGAATCAATTAGTCAGTAAGGACATTAAGGCCTTCTTCTATGACTGGAACTAGGTATTGGTGGCATGGGGACCAAGAATTAAAAACTATGGGCATGTGTCCCAAAGGATTTCTGAACTAGCGGGAGGAGGCTCAACTATAGGGAGTCAGGGTTGGTGAGAACTTGGGAATCTCTGGATATTGGATGCTGTGGTGTGGAGGTGCTTTGAAATGTCAACCACATACTGGAGGAAGGTAGACACATGCAAAGATAATAGTTTAGGTCTCTGATTTGAATCTTATGAATTGCATCTCTGATTTGCATCAGTTTAAGACCAGGAGGGTTCTGTAAAAAAATAAATCATTCAATCCAATGTAAGGTAGGTGACTATGAAGAGGGGCAATCCTTTAGAGAAACAGCAACAAGAAAAAGATGGCAAGTCTTTGATTAACCGAACTTTGCTACCCTTTGAGAAAGACAGTCACAATGATAGGTCTTTGATCCATGCTAAGAATTGGGGGGAACTTCCTACCCTTTAAACTTCTGTGTTTTATTTTTTTAAGCTTTTCTCTCCATGGTGGTTATTAGTGTGTTTAAGGGGAGGAAAATAAATTTCAGGAAATTGGAGCTAGTGGGCTATTAGTTACAGGAATTGTACTAGTGAGTGGTCCACTATTGGCTGTGCTGGTTGTACTGAGGCTCCTCTGTCACTCCTGGAGCTCTGCCTTACCCCTTCATACAGTAGTGATCATTTGTGGGAGAATGAAACAGAGAAGGAAGCTGTGGATAAAATGAGAGTTCCTGTGGCCAGGATTCTCACCTGACCCTGGTTGACTAGCTCACTGCACACCTGTGGGCAATACATGGCTATTGACTCTATATAAAGAGCTCTGCCCAGTGCTCTGGGTGTGACATGGTGGCACAGCTGCAAGGCTGCAGGAGAGCAGAGCAGAGGCTGGAGTGGTGACAGCATTGAGGACAGAGGCCCGGAGGATGCCTGTGTGGGACAACTGTGCAGAGAGGCCCAGAGGATAGCTGTACAGGATGGCTGTGCAGGCAGAGAGGCCCAGATGACAGCTGTGCAGACAGAGGCGCCCAGAGGCAGAGACTGGCTTGCTGCATGCAGACTCGCTCTGAGTGAATGGGATTTTAGTGACTGACCTGCCACCTGGAAATAAAGTTGGGTATAACTCTTTCACCCCAAGAACATTTTGGTGTCAATTTCTTTGGTCCCACCGAATCCATAGTGAACTTGCCTGGAGCTGAAACCCATTGGCAAGACAGAAGCCATATCTCACCTTGCTGTGGACGTGGGCTGGAGAGAAGGGACTGGCTGAAGAAGGAAAGACACAAAACAGGGGCAGCAGGAACTCACTGAAAACAGGCACTCAAAGCAAGGGGAACTAGGAAATGGAGTTCTTTTGAGAGTCCTGAGATACTGGGAGATGTTAATTCATTGCTTAAGCAATTTGAAAATTGATGCTGAGACTGTCCCACCATCTTTTCCCCCTTACTGCCAGAAAGTTATGGGGACATCTTGGCAGCTGACATTTGGGTTATAAAGGACCTGGTGTTTTCCTGTGTGACAACAAGGAAGGAAGGGGTTAGTATTGTAGAGACTGTGTTAGATTCCACAACCAACCTTGATGGGGAGAAAACCTTAAGCAGGTGGTTTAGAAGAGCGGGAAGATTAGCAGACCTTCACCTTCCCTCTCTGTGGTCTGCAGTGGAGGAGAAAAAGAAGCCATGTAGCTTGATAAATTGTCCTGGATACCCTGGTAATTTCCACAGAAATACACAGCCCTCACGTGCCATCTACCCCCAAGGAGGGTGTCAATTGCTAAGGCATGCTTCATAAATTCAAAGAAATTCAAGTAAGTGGAGCCACCAGGGCTTCTTTGAAGAGATCTGACTTCAGTTTGATTCTAAAGAGGAAGAGAGATTTGGCTAAGGAGAGGTGAAATAGTTTAACGATTGCTCTATCCTAAGTGTTTCCTATGTGTTATTTTACATATGTTGTTACTTCATTTAATCTTTGGATGGTTTATATAACAAATGACTAAAATGAAGTTCAGAGAGATGAAGTCCATTTTATGATAGGTGGTGGGGTTGCTCCATATCTAAGAACTTCTTGTGCAAGAGTGTTTTTAGTCACTACACTCTTGGTCCATAGGTCAGACTATGTGGTTTTAAATTGGAGACAAGAATGCCCTTCTGGAGGCTATTTTGTATAATGAGGAAAGGTGGAGTTTGAGTTATCACATGCACTGGAGGTTCTCCCAGAGTTTAGTGGGAGGGATCAAGGTGCAAAACATTTTGCAGTCTGTGGGCAGTTCTGTACTAAGAAGCATCACCCCAAATGCTGAGTTCCTCTGCTGAGAAACACTAGAGGAGAAAAAGCATAAATGAAGTAGATGAGGCAATGGAAACTGGAATTGCCAGCAGTAGGAGGACATATGAGGGGCTGAATGGAGTTGTGTCTAATCAGTGCACAGACTTAGACTGGGGAGAAAAGTTTGCTTGCTTCTCAAACATTTCAAATCCTTTCCCACTTCTTGCTGGTTATTCCCTTAGTTTGACTTTTCTTTGCAAAGCTCACTTTTGTCCTTCAGGTCCTAGAGCAAATATAGTCTCCTTAAGTAGGTCTTTTCAAACCACCATCCAGTTTATTTCATCATCCTTGTTTTCGTTATGTTTTGTTGTGTAACAAAGTGCCCCAAAACTGAACAACTTCACACAACACTTACTGGCTGTGTACATTTTCTGTGTCTCAGGAAGGTGGGAGCTGGTGATCTGGCCCAGGATCTCTCACGAGGTTGCAGCCCAGCTGTTGGCTGGGGTGGCAGTCTTCTGAAGGGCAGAGGGATCCACTTCTAAGACTAGAGACACTTTTGTTGGAAGCCTCAGGTCCTCGCCGGTTGTTTGCCGCCTCTCAGTAGGCATGTGTGAGTGTCCTTAGTACATGGCAGTTGGCTTCCTCTGCAGACTGAGGCAGAGCATGAGGGAGTAACCAAACCAAAGCCACAACGTCCTTTATAATCCAATCCTGAAAGTGACATACCATCACTTCTTCTGTTGTCAGTCAGACCAACTCTGTCAAACGTGGGAGGGGACTTCGCTGGGGCATGACTATCAGAAGGTGGGATCACTGGAGGCCATCTTGCAGGCTGGCAACTAGAGTCCTGTGGATTTTCTTCAT